TTAATAATAAATGCTAGAGAATTAGAGAAATGTTAAAAGCTTGAGGGTTTGGACATTTGAAAGTGAAGAATTTAAGACATAAATATTAGTGTTGTTATTTATAAAATAAAAATGATGATTATTATTGTTATTATAATACAAGTGTAATTGACAACAGTAATATATTTCTGTCTTTATTTTTGATAATTAGTGTTAAATTAGTATGCCAACCCCTCAGAGGACCTCAGATGATGCCAACCCTGAAACAACATACAGAACTACCACATTTTGCTATAAGTTTGATTGCATCATATAATAATTGCTGTTAATAGTGTTCATCGTCTGTTTTATTACGTCTTAAATTGATTTTTCCGTACTGCTGGTTCGTCTGGTCAGAGGAGAACTGGCCCCCAGACTGAGTCTGGTTTCTCCCAAGGTTTTTTCTCCATTCTGTCACCGATGGAGTTTTGGTTCCTTGCCGCTGTCGCCTCTGGCTTGCTTAGTTGGGGACACTTCATTTCCAGCGATACCGTTGACTTGATTGCAAAGATACTATTTAAACTGAGCTGGATGATGACATCACTGAATTCAATGATGAACTGTCTTTAACTGAAAAATTTGTGTTTACTATTGTCATTTTGCATTATTGACACACTATTTTCCTAATTAATGCTGTTCAGTTGCTTTGACACAATCTGTATTGTTAAAAGCGCTATATAAATAAAGGTGACTTGACTTGACTTGACTTAAAACTACTAAAAACAATCATAGAACTGTGAACATGCAAATATGTCATTAAATGATTGGAATACTAACTTAAAGTCTCAGCATCTCTGCATTAGAATATCCAACCATGTGGCATTTTGAAGTGTGGCATAAGTGTCCAAAGCCGTTTTTTTGACATCTTGAATTATGAGTGACTGATGAAACTTTCCTCTCCCTCTAGGTCAATTTGTCCCTGATCATCACACCCTCCCTGGACAGAAATCTCACCTGATGGCTCCAGATCACTTGGGAGGCATTGAATTTGACCTGCAGCTGATGTGGAGCGCACAGTCCTTTGATTCACCCTACCAGCTCTGGAGAGCCACAAGCTCCTACAGCAGGTAAGCAACGTGAAGTCTAATGCTCTCACATTAAGGAAGTGTATCCATCTTAAGGCCACTGACAGTGTGCTTTCTGTTGTGCTCTAGGAAAGACTACTCTGGGGAGTACACAGTCTTCCTCATCCCCTGCACGGTACAGCCAACCCAGGCATGGGTCGACTCTGGGGATAAGCCTCTTTCCTGCACGGCCCATGCTCCAGAGAAGTATGTTACCATGGTGCTTTTCCATTGATAACTCCTTGAGGACACTACAGTGACTTTTTGTGATGGAGACATTTTGCTGAGCAGAGCCAGCAGGGTTGAATGATATTGCAGTTGTCATCCACTTTTAGTGGACTCGTTTTACAGGTTTCATCAGGTGCAGACTGTTAGTGTGAGTCAACAAGAATATTCAACAACATGCAAGGGCTTGTAACACTCTCTTTCAATCGGTAGATTCCTGCTGCCCATCGCCTTCCAGCAGACGAACCGCCCTGTTCCTGTAGTCTACTCCCTGAATACTGAGTTCCAGCTTTGTAATAATGAAAAAGTATTTCTAATGGATCCTGCTCTCGCAGACATGTCTGTTGCTGAGATGGACTATAAAGGAGCCTTTTCGATGGGTAAAATTAGCAAAGTAATGAAAACAGTGAGCTCCCTCCACTATTATGCTTTCACTCATTCATTGTTTGACATTATGCAGGTCAAACGCTGTATGGCAGAGTGCTGTGGAATCCCGACCAGAACTTGAATTCGGCCTACAAGCTGCAGCTGGAGAAAGTATATTTGTGTACAGGGCGGGATGGCTATGTACCCTTCTTCGACCCCACAGGCACCCTGTATAACGAAGGCCCTCAGTATGGCTGCATTCAACCGAACAAGCACCTCAAACACAGGTTCCTGCTTCTGGTAGGTGTCTATTGTAACAAGTCCAGACCAGTTTAACCAGTCTAGCAAGATTCATTTGGTGTGGTTAAATTTTAACTGATAGTGGATGTAAATTTCCAAGGGGTATTTTGAAGATCAAACTGTTTTTGTATATCTTGGAACTAATATTGAGACTGACAGCTCTAATGATTTGACAGCCATTCCTCCGGTCTTCAGTGTCATAATCCTTCAGAAATCATGCTAATATGCTGATTTTGGTGCTCAGGAAACATTTCTTATTAATATCAATGTTGAAAACAGTGTGCTGCTTAACATTTTTTGGAAACTATGATACATTTTTTTCAGGATTACTTCATGAACAAAGTTCAAAAGAACAACATTTATTTGAAATAGAAATGTTTTGTTCAATTGTTATTTTGTTATAAAATTGTATTGACCCCAAACCTTTGAATGGTGAAGTATATTATCTTAAAGCTTCCTATAAGAAAGACAGTTGACAGTACAAATATAGCACGAATTCAGTGCAAATAATAGATCACAGGATGCTGGCTAATTAACCAATCAGAATTAAGTATTCCAGAGAGCTGGGTAATAATTGTAAATAACTCAGTGCAAATAATAGATCACAGGATGCTATGATTAACCAATCAGAATTAAGTATTCCAGAGAGCTGGGTAATAATTGTAAATAATGTATCACATAGGACCGGAAGCAGCCTGATGTCTGTGACCGCTACTTCCATGATGTTCCATTTGAAGCCAACTTTGCATCTGACATTCCTGATCTCCAGTCCTTGTCTGCGATGCCAGGTGTAGACGGATTCACAATGAAGGTGGATGCCCTTTATAAGGTCAGTGGCTGCAAGATTCACCAAAAAGTCAAGTTGTTAAACAGACCTTCTGTTTGACACATACTAGAAATCCTGGCAAATGTCAAAGCTGAAGCTATTCAGTTGTACCCTTCAGGGAAGTGCCTTGATCTGTTTGTTTAGGAAAAGATGCCGGGCTGACAATGTGCCATGACTATAGGGAACTGGGCTAAAGGACAAGATTAAAAAGGGGTTATAATATATATAAAGGGGAGGGGATATAATCATATTTGCATTTACTCTTCTTTAGGTTGAGGCAGGGCACCAGTGGTACCTCCAGGTCATCTACGTTATTGGACCGGAGTCCATATCTGCTCCCAGAATCCAGCACTCAGTGACCTATGAGCTCAAGCGAAGTCGCCGAGATCTGGTGGACCGTTCAGGTCGTCTAATGCTGGATGAATCACTGATCTACGACAATGAAGGTGACCAGGTAAAGAATGGCACCAACATGAAGACCTTGAAGCTTGAGGTGGAACCATCGGGCACCTTCAATCCCCAGATGGGAGGATCCATTGGGGGTGGCATGGCAGCCATCCTCCTACTTCTCCTGGTCCTTCTAGCCTTCTGCTTCATGGTCAGAAAGTGCCGCAGGGTTGTAAAAAAGAGGCCTGCGAAGGCAGTGGAGGATTATCCTCTGAACACAAAGGTGGAGGTCTGTATAGAACGTCTGGAGAAAAACCTCAACAGCAAGCACTGCTCTGTAAGAAACGTCAATGTTCTCAACAAGAACCCAGAGACCTACAAGATCAATGGGGTCAAGGTCAAACAGGTCAATCTGGAGGTCAAACTACACAACAACCTGAATGACGGCACTGAAGTCTGACCTTCTAGAGTATTTAATGAGAAAAAGAAACATTTTCTATGAATATTTGTAATGACGTTAATGTATTTTTGTATGACCATGAGGATAAAAGGGAAAGTATGCTTGCCAGCTATGCAGTGTAAATCATTTCACAACTGAGCTACCTCAAACATTAATGAGCAACACATAATGGGGTCATCAGATCTTATGTTTCAAATCTCAGTTTTAAATCATAGCTCTGTCTTAAGAATCATATAATGGCTCAGTGGTAGCTCAGCCACTTGATGGATGGAGAGTTTGTATCGCTGCACCTGCTGTTTTGTTATGTCAGTAAAAACACATGAAAGTATTAAAGGAAGGATGAGTGCCAACACTTTGGACAGGGTGAGTGATGTAAATACGTTTATTAAGTGCAATTATTGGATGACATGGTCATCCCTGTATTTTAATTTGGCTTTTGATGCTCTGCCTCATTGTGTAATTTACTTTTGGCCTGATCATCGGTGTGCCATGCTGATATTTGTCAAGTGCGATTTATTTAATTCCAAATCCGAATAGACTGCCCAAAGTGATGCATTTGTCAGTTCATGTAAGTAGTTGGTACATGTAAATGAGAAATTGTATGAAAATAGATTTGATAACCACTATTGATTTGTTATCACTCTACTGACTCCATTGAAATGCTGTAACCTCTATTATTTTACAACACTGGACAACAAAATGTATTTTTGTTTTATATGACTGCTGTCTATACTGATATAACCAAACACTACCAAAAATCTTCACATGGATTTTTTTAAAGATTATCCACCTCATGTTATCCTGCATTATTTAGTCTTGTATTAATGTCACATCATGTATTAAGTAAGGCACATCTATAGTTTCTATCATTTATTTACTCAAATGTTCTGTAATGTTGTATCAAGTCATCACTTGTTACATAGTGCTGATTTGATCAAGAATATCCAAAATCTTTAAAGCACTGGGTGTAGGGTGGGAAAAGCTACGATTATTACTTCATGATCAGTCTAAGTGAGTGCCTATCAAACAGACAATTTTTGGATATATCAGATTTTGGTGCTATCATTTAGGGTAAAATAACATGATGCCTGTACGTGTGCCTTTCTAGCAATAAAATTAATAAACCTATTCCTAATGCGTGGCACTCTTTGTTCAAATTTAATGTATGTGAGGTGAAATAACTTCACCTCGCATGATTGTTATGTGTTACAATAATAGTAGCCTAGTTGTAATGGTAATACAATTGTTTTGAAAGAACAAAATAAGTACATTTTACTTTTGAATTATGTAGAAAGTGAATAGCAGCTCGTTTTTCCAGAAGGGAGAGGCTCCGTAAGAATGCATTCCTTTAGAGATCGTAACATCATATCTCTCACGCCCTGAAAAAGCAGGTGGTGAGAAGTTTAAGCGGAGAGAGAGCCACGTCGTCTATTACTTTGTATCGCGAAGGTAAGAGTTAAGAATTTTAAAAGTATACAAAAATCGTAGGTACTAGTTATTAATGAGTGCTAATTATAAATGTTCGTTGAATTAACTTAACTTGTGCATTGGGTATACAATTGATGACCAGCATATTTTAAAGGCAGAGAAGTGCTTTAAACTGATTTTTTTTTTCAACTATTTTTGGAGGGAAGTCGTTAACTTTATTTCTTTTTTTTTGTGAATAAAGTGAAAGCAAGAAAAGTAAATGTAAATGCATGACTGTGTAACCGCAAAGATCATGTATTAGTAATCGATGAACTGAATCGAATCTGAACTGTGATTGTGTTTGTTTATAGAATCCTCCCAATCAAAAATGTCAGACTTATGGGTGAGTACAATTTTGCAAACGTATGCACCCCCTGAAAGTGATATTGAAGAATATTACTGAAACCAAATTTGCTGAGATGTAATTTTCCTGTATTGCAGGATGACTTGGAGAATTTTGCTCGTGCCCCCTCTTCTTCCACAGCAGCGGTAAATCACTTGTTTTAATGCATTTTGGTTGTATGTATAATTTAATACATTTGCGTTTGACCACCACTTGGATATTTTATATTTTCAAAGTAATTTACTTACAAACCAAGAAGAATTGGATACGTGTTGTCCTAATGGAACTTGCCATTAAACAGCCTATATAAGCAGCCTTCTTGAGCATGAGAGACATCTTTTAGAGCAGTGTTTCCCAACCTTTTTTTAGTAGCGGCACCCTTTGGAAATTGAAACAAACTTGTGGCACCCTACAAAATTAATTTTGTCACTATATTTGAATTTCTAACTTCGATATGATAATTTGAAAAGTATAGATATTCGGTACAACAGGGAAGAACTACAGAATATAATGTCATACAGATATTTTTAATATTATTAAAAAATGTTGTCCATGACTGAGCGGAGCGCACATGCATAGAGCGGATAATACAAGTACTTGACTTGTAAGAGGACTTTTGACTTAAAACCATATAATTATTGAGATACAGCCCTTGTGATAAATTCCCAGTGTGACAACTAGTTTCAAATACATAAGCATTTACATTTTTTGCTTATTCTTCTTCAGCCAGGAGAGAGAGGCACCATTAAAGCCAAAGCTAACTTCAACGTCAGTGAAGATGTTGCAGCTCTCCGTAAAGCAATTGAAGGCATAGGTACATAATTTACATATCTGTATTGTATTGTACATGTAATATATTCCTGTATTCTCCTTGTTGCATTCACTTCACATATTGTATGTTCCATCAAACTACAGTAATTTCACTTACCAGGTACAACTGAGAAGACATTGATAGACATTCTGACTCACAGGAGCAGCAGTCAGAAGCAGGCTATTTCAAAGGCATACCTAGAAACCACAAATAGGGTAAATCTGTGACCTCTTTCTCATGATAATTTGAATGTGTGTGTTTTTGTATTCACATGAAAATCTGCCTAATTTCTTTGTCTAGATTCTTGTTAATGACCTGAAAGGCGACACCCAGGGCAGCTTGGAGGACCTGCTTGTTGCGCTCGCAAGACCGCTTGCTGTCAATGATGCTAAATGGCTAATTGAAGCAATCAAAGTAAGTTATATTTCCTAATTTTCCCTTGTGAAGAATGTAAAGTGTTTCTCCCTGTCCCTGTACAGTGTTCTGAGTCAAACTTCAGCTATTCATGTGAGCAATTTGAATATTCTGAACCAATAGAGGCAGATTTTTCTTTCTTTTTTTCATGACATTCATGGGTTGGTTTTCAGGGGGCTGGGACGGACAACAGCATCCTGATAGAAATACTTGCCTCACGGACAAATAAACAGATCAAGGAACTGTCTGCCGCATACGCTGAGGGTGAGATGAGGAATCTATTGTAACAAAATATGAAAGTTACAAAAACTTGTTATAATTGCTTCCCTTCCCTTTGCCCAAAAGAAACAAAGAAAACGCTGATACAGAAGCTAAAGACAGAGGTTTCAGGGGATTTTGGCAAAGCCATCCTACTGCTTGCCGAGGTGATTAAATACACATGTATTGCAGTCTATTGTAATAAAGGCAGCTCTGGAAATTAATGCTATTTCTCACTCATTATAAGGGTGCGAGGGATGAAAGCACCAATGTGAATGCAGACAAGGCTAGAGAGGATGCAAAGGTATAGAAAACTCGTTTCATAAGGCTGTATCAAAGAATATGTTATTTATATGATTAGATGTGAGCATCTACATGTTCTCTGTTTCCTCCATAGGCTCTCTATCATGCAGGCGAGAAGAAACTGGGAACTGATGAGTCCAAGTTCATTGAGATCCTCTGTAAAAGGAGCATCCCTCACCTGAGACAAAGTACCAACTTAATCATCCAAATGTAAAATGTTTCACACAGAAACTGAAATGGCATGTTTTTTTAATATAATTTGGCATGTCCTGTTACAGCAATACTGGAATATAAAAACATCAGTGGCAAGACTTTGCAGAAGAGCATTGAGAAGGAAATATCTGGAGATCTGGAGGAACTGCTGGTTGCCATTGGTACAGTCAATTTGTATTTATACATTCTAAATGCAAATACACACAACAATCACTTAGAATTCGATGCAAAATTATTTACTTCTACATTTTGTAATCAAATACACTTTTTTTCTTCTAGTAAAGTGTGTGATGAGTACTCCTGCATACTTTGCTGAAAAAGTCTACAAAAGCATGAAGGTACAGATAGAAACACATTATTGTCTGTCACTGAGTTTGTCCAACACTGACGTTTATTTGTGAACCTGCAGGGAGCAGGTACAGATGAAACCACTCTGACCAGAGTAATGGTCAGCCGTGGAGAGATTGACATGCTGGACATCAGAGCTGAATTCAAGAAGCTCTATCAGAATTCACTCTTCAAGGAAATAAGTGTAAGTATTCTCCACTGATGTAAACACTTTAGCACAAGTTCAGGCCATCTGCCATTATTCTTTAATTATGCTTGAGGCCAGTAGTACATCACTTCCTGATCCTCAGGTTTATACGTTTAATCATGCCCTCAAGATATCATAACCTTCACAAATGATGATTTGACATAGTCCATTCCTCATATCTGACAATGACCAAAACACTCTTTTCTCATCTGTGTCACTGTTTTCCTATATTGTCCTATATGATACTATATTCCATGCAAATGAAACTCATTTACTGGTGATGGCTGAGAGTTTCACTCTTTGTTCTTGTATCTGATGTTGTGATACAGTCTGTACTGATGGTCTCTGTGATTATGTGCGACTATGGGTGATTTTGCTGTTCTTCATTTCAGTCAGATGTATCTGGCAGCTATAGTGACTCCTTGAAGATGATTTGTGGAGAAGACTAGCCTGTTTACAAAAGAATTGAGATGCTTCATAAAATGGTTTCTTTAATAGCATTTTTCCAGCTGTCTTAGGAAATAAATAACTTATATTTAAAGTTTACTGCAAATAAAGGTATAGAGTGAGATTCATTATAATTTATGATATTAAAAATATACTTTTGTTTTTTGTCTAGATCATAACTGATCATAAGACTTTTTGGTAGTGAATGGCGCCTCGCAACAGCAGGCATGACTTTAATAGTTACTTGAAAACATCAAACATTAAAATTGTGCTGACGAAATCATGAATGTTAAAATTAGAAACTAAATTATGCATATTTTATGAAATTCCATCATTTTGTTCTAGAAGTTTTCATTTTTTGAGATTAAAAAACCTTTTAATTTTTGTCCTTCATACATTATGTGCATCAGCAGCGTGTTTTAATAGACTGGAAACTACCACTACAGATTTGCTGTCAGTCTGGTGACTCCATTGAAATGCCAAAGGATTTGTTATTTTAACACTTAACAACAAAATGTATTTTTTGTTTCATGTGGGTTTCTTTTTTCTTTCCCCCCATTATTAAGTCTCAAACCCTTTTCGCAAAAAAGTTTCAAAAGTTTTTCAAATGTCAGTTTTTGGTGCTATCATTTATGATAAAATAATCAACATGATGCCTGTATTTGTACCTTTTAACAATGAAATAAATTAATAAACATATACCTATTATGTGGAACGCACACTGTGCTCATATTTAATGTATGATTATTTAATCTATCATCAGCTTAATTTTACCCAAATTCTAAAATTGTGAAGGAGACTTGAGTTCGTGTGCAATATCTTGTTTATTGCCAGAAAACCTGAAACCACGTGAATGTTATGTGTTACAACCGGCTACCATCAGTCATTTTAGTGTGTTTTGGATGTTCTATATATTAAAAGCTGATACGGCCTTGATTGGGGTTAAATGATCGCTACAAAATATTAGGAAAATTAGCAATTTTCCTAAATGGTAAATCATAGCAGCGCGTTGGGTGTTCATGAAAGTAGAGGCTCAGTAAGAATGCATGTCTTCTGTGAAAATGACACATCGCGTCACACGCCCTGAGGAAGTAGAAGAAGAGGAGAAGTTAAACCGGACAGGAGGAGGCACGTTCAGTGTTGATTCGTATCACACAGGTAAACGCAAACTGTAGGTAGCACTTTCAAAGCAAAGTCTAAGTTTGATTAACATAACTTTACATCTGCTTTTGATATACATTCGAAGTAAGTATATATTAGAGATACAGAAGGCGGTGTGATTGCTGCAGTCGATCAGGAGTCGATCGATCGATAATTATAGGAGTTTTTGTCAAAGCTTATTTTACTGATATCACTGAGTCTTTAAAATCTGTTTCTGAGGGCGAGACGTTTACCTTTTTTTGCATATAAAAAGAGTGAAAATGAAAAACAATGTAGGCTAGGCTACCTTATGCATTCTGAACTGTAAATTGATGAATTGTTTATCACAGTAGAATCCATCAAAAATGTCGGACTTGTGGGTAAGTAAAATCTTAAAGCTACATTCAGTCATCTCTGTTGCTTAAGTGAAGAGTATGAATTTGAAGAGAGTTTATTTAATTTCTTGTGTTGCAGGAAGACTTGCAAAGTGTTGCGAATGCTGCTCCTGCTGCATTCACAGCAGCGGTAAACAAACTTTTGTTATACTTATATAGGCCTACACACACACATTATATATATACAGAGGCGTCATGCCCATTCAGATTTCTGAGCCAAGTGGATTTTGAATGCAGCTTCCAAAAGACTAAAAATAGCCTAATAATATATTTTTTTATATTTGATACAATCACACCGGTGTGATTAAATCGTTCAGCGCGGCACATCAAATCTGCGTTTGCTGGCTGGCGCTGAGCCAGAGACAGACACGTTTGTACAGCGCTGCATTATAACCAATCACGCACGATTCTGGTGAGCTTATGAATGCAATAGCCAATCAGAGGCGTTCAGATGAGTCATCGCTGAAACGCGGGCTGAGTCCGGAAGCCTAGGCAGCTGACTTGCTGCCTCGCTGCCTTATGATAGTGATGGGAAGTTCGGATCATTTTACCGACTCGGACCTTTGAGTCTCGTTCAGCAAAATGAACGAATCTTGGAACGCACAGGATTGTGGGATATGAAAGGCAGCGAAGGATACATCTATGTGTAAAGGAGGCCAGCGATAGGTCTTTAGCCTCCTTGTTAGTGCGCCCACCTCCCATGCCGCAGACCCGGGTTCGAGACCCACTCGGAGCGAGAACGAGGTGTGGCGGGGAGGACCCGGGGGAGAGGGGCATTGGTGCCGTGACCCGGATGGGAGTGAGGAACGGTGGTGACAGCAGCTGCAATCCACCTGTCACTCAAGTGGCCGTGCCCTTAATTATGCATAACTTTAAGGCTTAATATAATTTAAACGGATGAGTTATAAAAAAATTCACCCCCCTCACAGTTGTCATGAAGGGCAAAATTAGCTATATAGACCAAAATCATTTTTTGAACCAGGCTGGCTTCACGAGAGAGAGCGGGAGGTTGCCGCTTGATTCGGACGTGCCTTGATGCCTTCATGCCTCCGAAGGCAGCATTTTAGAGCTTTCGGACGCGGCGGCGTTTTGTTCACTTGCTCGCTGACTGAATTCTCTGGCGAATTCTCTCATCAGAAACAACAAAGTGCAGATGTGCGTACTAATGTAAGTAAGATATTAATTTAACAGTGTAAACAGCTTCAGTGATTTAAATGGGAGTGTTTGAGAGTGCCTGAACTCTGGCTAGACTGAACTGAAAATAATTAATTAATAATTAATAATTAGTTACATTTATATAGCGCTTTTCTGGGTTAAAAATATTTTACGGCATGACACCCATATCTGATAGGCTATTTAAGATTACACTATTAGTCTAATCTTAGTAGATTACACTATTAGTCTACTTTGTCCATCACCCATTATAGATAAAATAATCTATAAAGGTGCAAAACGCATTTACTTACACATATTTGAGAAGATATTTCCTGATTGGAAATATTTCGAGTGAAAAAAAAAAACATAAGCCTATATCAGTTATACAGTCATATCGTGGCTGCTGTATGTCACATGTATGTCCTTTTTCCATTTTGTCCTTTTAGTTTCTATAATTAATCCCTTCATCATAGACAACAAGCCAAAACCTGTTCACCTGTATCAGCGTCAATGATTGTTTTATTTGATTAGATACACACACACACACCTAAATATGGGTGTATAATCGGTTCTTATTTAATACACTTTGGAGAGACTGGACTGGGATTAGTTGTCTCACACTTTTAACATTTTTGTAATACTGATTGATTGATTTGGTTGGCTGGTTGATTGACTGCTTATTCTTCTTCAGCCAGGAGAGAGAGGCACCATTAAAGCCAAAGCTAACTTCAATGTCAGTGAAGATGTTGCAGCTCTCCGTAAAGCAATGGAAGGCATAGGTACATAATCTATCTGTAGTGTATTATGTATGTATTATGTAATGTGTGTATTCTGAGTATATACTGTACCAGGTACAACTGAGAAGACATTGATAGACATACTGACTCACAGGAGCAGCAGTCAGAAGCAGGCTATTTCAAAGGCATATGAAGAAACCACAAATAGGGTAAATCTGTGTCCTCCTGCTCATATATATTTGAATGTGTGTGCAATGTTATATGATGAAAATCTGCCTAATTTGTTTGTCTTGACCAAAGATTCTTGTAAATGACTTGAAAGGCGACACTCAGGGCAACTTTGAAAATCTGCTTGTTGCGCTCGCAAGACCGCCTGCAGTCAATGATGCTAAATGGCTAATTAAAGCAATGAAAGTAAGTTGCATTTCCTAATTTTTCATTTTAAATGTTGAAAAAATTGATGCATTTAGCAATAATCTCAGACAAATTTCAGGATTATCTGTGTGAACATATTTTGCATGTTGTTTACCAGTGTTTGTGCATATTTTTCATAATTTTCCTAATACATTCATGGGTTGGTTTTCAGGGGACTGGGACAGACAACAGCATCCTGATAGAAATACTTGCCTCACGGACAAATAAACAGATCAAGGAACTGTCTGCCGCATACGCTGAGGGTGAGATGAGGAATCTATTGTAACAAAATGTCATTTACAAAAACTTGTTATAATTGCTTCCCTACCCTTTGCCCAATAGAAACAAAGAAAACGCTGATACAGAAGCTAAAGACAGAGGTTTCAGGGGATTTTGGCAAAGCCATCCTACTGCTTGCCGAGGTGATTAAATACACATGTATTGCAGTCTATTGTAATAAAGGCAGCTCTGGAAATTAATGATATTTCTCACTCATTATAAGGGTGCGAGGGATGAAAGCACCAATGTGAATGCAGACAAGGCTAGAGAGGATGCAAAGGTATAGAAAACTCGTTTCATAAGGCTGTATCAAAGAATGTTATTTACAGTGGTGTGAAAAAGTGTTGGCTCCCTTCCTGATTTCTTATTTTTTTGCATGTTTGTCACATTTTAATGTTTCAGATCATCAAACAAATTTAAATATTAGTCAAAGATAACACAAGTAAACACAACATGCAGTTTTTAAATGAAGGTTTTTATTATTAAGGGAAAACAAAATCCAAAACTACATGGCCCTGTGTGAAGAAGTGTTTGCCCCCCTGTTAAAACTGTGGTTTATCACACCTGAGTTCAATTTCTCTAGCCAGCATCCCTCACCTGAGACAAAGTACCAACTTAATCATCCAAATAAACACAAACGTTTCGCATAGGAACTGAAATGACATGTGTTTTGAATATAATTTGGCATGTCCTGTTACAGCAATACTGGAATATAAAAACATCAGTGGCAAGACTTTGCAGAAGAGCATTGAGAAGGAAATGTCTGGAAACTTGGAGGAACTGCTGGTTGACATTGGTAAATGTTTAATTATGAATTCAAATACACAATAATTATTTGGTATTTGGAACATTTGTTTTTTTTTACCTCTACATATTTTGTAATCAAGTACACTTTTTTTTCTTCTAGTAAAATGTGTGATGAGTACTCCTGCATACTTTGCTGAAAAAGTCTACAAAAGCATGAAGGTACAGATAGAAACACATTATTGTCTGTCACTGAGTTTGTCCAACACTGACGTTTATTTGTGAACCTGCAGGGAGCAGGTACAGATGAAACCACTCTGACCAGAGTAATGGTCAGCCGTGGAGAGATTGACATGCTGGACATCAGAGCTGAATTCAAGAAGCTCTATCAGAATTCACTCTTCAAGGAAATAAGTGTAAGTATTCTCCACTGATGTAAACACTTTAGCACAAGTTCAGGCCATCTGCCATTATTCTTTAATTATGCTTGAGGCCAGTAGTACATCACTTCCTGATCCTCAAGTTTATTAGTTTAATCATGCCATCAAGTCCATTCTTCATGGCCAAAAGGCTTTTTTCTCATCTGTGTCACTATATTCCATGCAAATTAAACACATTTTTGATGATGACTAAGGGTTTTGTATTTGATGTTATGATAAGTGACTTTGCTCTTTTTTATTTCAGTCTGATGTGTCTGGCAACTACGGTGATTGCTTGAATGTGATTTGTGGAGGAGAAGACTAACCCAGAAATGCTACTAAAGATGTCTTGTTTAGTTATTTTGCAGTGGGTCAATCCGATGTCTGCTAAATTAATAAATGTAAATTTAATAGATTTTTTAAAGCTAAATTACTCATAAGGCTTTAATGGCAAGTAAAAAAGCTAATAGACAACATGATTTAGAAAATTGCAATGTTGCAGTTCTGATAAATCAGTATCAGCTATGAATATTCCTGCATTTCAATGAGTTTATTCAAATGAAAAATATATTTCAGCATATTACCTTTTTGTCATTTTGTCCTTCAGATATTATGTGGATCAGCAAAGTGTTTTTACATGTTGTCTGGGCAAAATATAGTAAAATACCACTTATTGATTTCTTAATAATTGGCCTAAATGTCAATCTGTTCTTTCCATGTCTGTTTCTGCCTCTGTCATTTAATTGAATTTACCTGCCGCACTTTAATGATCTCAGTATTGATGGCAGTTTGCCAGACGTAAATGTCATTAAGAAAAACGTCTGTGAGACTCCAAGAGCCTTTTTGCTTTAATTTTCACCTTCTAAAAAGCCTTTACTCTGTCCATATGGTTCCTGCTTGAGCTGTTTATTCTGACCTTTACCCCTTTCATTGCACATTTTAGATTAAATTGTAGCCAGATTTTCCCACAGATAGTGTAGACCTATAGTTACCTTTTGGTTAAAAAAAAAATGGAATAATTGAACTTGGGTTACTTGAATAAATATGACAATAGATTCTACTTTTAATTAGAAATATGATAATAAATATGCAAAATCACAGCTCCTAAAAGTGTTATATAACAGCCAACAAGGCGTAGTATATGCCTTGTTTGGAAAAAAAAACAAAAAAAACAAATCATAATTTAACACATTATGATAAAGATAACCAAGATATCTGGGCATTATTGTGATGTACACAGTGTCGAGTCATCTGTTTAGGGAGCTGCTGCTGATGAAACTTTGCACAGTCAGGGGAGTTGATCTGTATTGAGGTGGAGAAGCGCCTGAGGGAGCAGAAGATCCTCATTAATCCCATGTAATAATCCCAGACTCCAGTTCAGTCCTCTGTTTCTCCATCGACCTACATCTGTAGCTATTATCAGACAGCTGTCACATTTGTACAAGCATGTACATTTGCTTTTAAAAGCCCTTGATGTTTTTCTTTTCTGGATATCAATTTAAACAGGTCATGATTTTCTTGCGCTTCTTCTGCAATTAACTGAGCATAAGTTAGTCATTTTTCGTATATGTTGAATTGCATATATTACTACACACTTACATAGACAATATCTACACTTATTTCCTGGGATAAGAAGGCACCTGCTCATTTTGCAGGGTTTGACCATTAGAGGGCAGGACATTTTCATGAATTGAAGAGCAGATGTACCTGAGGACCCTCAGAGGGTCTTGTGTTGTCGACCCAGACTTGTTAACATCACATTACTGTCACTGTCACTGTGCTGGATCTGTGTCCTGATTGCACATAAATTACATTATGAGTGTCATGTTTGAAATTTATTGGAAGATACATGTAGAGTACAAAGGAAATCTCAAATTAAAACAGTTTTTTCCAAAAACGTATTTGAAAAATAAGTTGAAGACGAAAACAATATCAAGTAGATGCTGAATATTTTCTTTTATTATTATATGTAATTCACTGTTTTGTACTTCAGAGCGAATATAATATCAACTGTAGGCAATTGACTATGCAAAACATTGAATAGGGTTCAAAATATGGCCTGAAACTTTGACAAATTTAAATGAGGTGGTTAAATGTTGAGGTCTCTAGTCTGTGTAATTTTGTTATTTTCCAATAATAAACATTAAATAACAATCCAAATCGAACAGACATGTATTATTAAATAGATATGAATGTAACGGTTGAAAATTAATAACACCAGTAAACAACAACAAAAATAAATAACATCAGTAAATAAAATAATGACTAAATGGCAAATGATGGCTTGTAGTTTTAATCTCATATTTCCCATACATTGAAAAATGTTTGTTGTATGGTTGAACTTAACAAATATAGTCAACACCACAATTTGTTTAATAATTGAGAAAATTAGATTGTCACTACCATGCTGTACAAAGGGTCCACATAATGAACCCTTTAAACAGCACATAAATAATGTTACACTATTGTAATACATATTACTAATAAAAATTAGTTTATTAGTCTATTTAATCCCAATCTTAAAGGCACGTTTTCAAGTTAAGTTAATGTTATGTTAAATAGTTTATCCAATAATTCTTACAACAAAAACATGGATTCGTGCCTCTGGTGCTTAAAAACCATGCGACACGAAGGTGTGCCGTATTCGTGCCAGTTGCACTTCTTAAGCATCTCACACTCCCAAACAATCCATTCACTGATTTCAACTGACTAACACATTGGTTAAGAGCTTTATCAAGCAAACTGCCAAACAAAACGCTGAGAGACAGTCATCCATTTCATCCCATCAGAGAAGAGTATCTACAGGACGCATCTCGCTCACACCAATCACGACAATGGGAAGGAATCGGACAAAACCAAAGTTAGGTTGTCAGACAAACCTCCCATCAATTCTACGGCGAGTCACGAGAGTTCGAACTTTGTCATTGTGACGCGGGACTTCCAGAGCACGAGGAAGCGCTCTGCAGTTTCAAAAAATAACCGACGCTGTTCGCGCATCACCCGAAACGTTTGGCCGCTCGGAAGATTTCTGGTTTATTTTTTGTAGTGACACATTTTACTATGATACACGGGGTCCTCTTCAAGCAGATAGAGGAAGAGTCAGCTAGCGAGCTGGCTAACTAAACTATCCGAAGGGGAAGTGGCAGCAGTCATCGTTTAGCCAGAGTTTCGCTAGCGTAGCTTCCGCCTAACACACCCACTTTCTGCCTGTTTGTTGTTCACGTTGGTTTCAAATAACCTGGACTTCAACCGACTTCGGCTTTTCGCCGAACACAAAAGCATGCTTTGGCTAAACAGAGCGTTTCGCCATTGTTAGCCAGCTAGCGAGGCGAATGGTCTCTCCAGCGCCCGTACAGGCTCGCTAGCCAGCCGAAACGAGTCGGCCTGAAAATATAGCGGCGTGAACGGTCTCATTCGTGCGATTACCACGCATTAACGACAAAACGCTGCCCTGACGGTTTACTTCTATGCAGTTGCTTCATCGGGCTTTGGGGGAAATAAGGAAGCATTCAGCTACGCCTTTCTGCGTCCCTCGAGCACTGAAGTGCCTGGCGCATCTCGGGAGAGCAGCTCTCAGCATGCTGGACAAAAGAGCGGAGATGAGCAGGTTGGGTTTTTGAGCGTCTTAAGCTTGTTTGGAACTGTCCGTTTGGGGAAGGCGGGAACACAAGAGGCAAGAATGAAGAAGTTTTCGCGTATGCCGAAGTCAGAGAGCGGAAGTCTCGGGGGTGGGTCTGGATCTGGATCTGGTACTGGAAGCAGCAACTATATCGGGAAGGTGTTTGCTGTCGGTCGATACCAAGTGACGGTGGAAGAACTGATCGCTGAAGGTAATGGATCCATTTCTTTGGGCCAATAATAACGAGGTGGCAAAACTTAGTGGTGAAGTTTATAAGAGCCCCCCCACATCCCTCAGACATCTGTTTCATAGAGCCATAAGCAGTTCAGGAAGGATATATCAAGGTAAACAGGCTGTTTACTACAGGTTGCACCTAGCCATATCACTGCTTTAGGTTCTATCAGTGATGTTGCTCCTTGCCATGAAAAAAGGAACTAGCTTGGTGCTTGTCCTTCCCATAAATTCATAGAGAGATGATGCTTCCATATAATCTGATGTCATTTTTTGCCTTTGTCACTGTCAATTATCACATGGTTTTGGATAGAATTTTCAACTGATCATTGCAGTATGTCGTAGTGTTCACTATGTTTTAGTGTATTGTTTTGCTCAGTGTCATCTAAAATGCTTGATCATTCTCACAGTTCTGTCATGTAATGTGACTGTAATACAAGTATTAGGGTGTTTGATTCCCATGTAAGTGTTGTCAGTTCTGTGAGTTTTACTGAACAGTAACTTGGCAACTTCGAACTTGCTGTCTGGACACGATTATATAATTTGCCATTGGTGCAAATGTTCACCCTCACAAACAACTGTTGAGTTTGAAAAGTGCTTTTATTCTTACTTTCCACTGGGTTGTTTTATTACATTTTTACATTCTCTCAGTCTCATCATTTACTCACCCTCACGTGGTTACAAACCTGAACTTCTCTTTTCTTTCTTCTGTGAAATGCAACAGAAGGTTTGTTGGTAGGTGTTGAAGGTAGTGAAGAGTGTTGGTAACTAAATAGTTTTGGTGACCATTGACTTCCAGTGTATGAACTAAAAACACCCTGAGACATTTCTAAAAATATCTTATTTTATGTTCCACAGAAGAAAGTAAGTCATGTTTGAAACAACATAAAGGTGAGTAAATGATGACAGGTTTTTTTCCTTTTTGGGTGAACTATCCCTTTTAATTTGTCTACCTGTACAAAATAACTCCACTATCCCAAATTATCTTCTCAGTGTCTCATTAGTGAATGTTCTCCAAAAAGCCTATTTTTTTATGTATGTTTTGAGTCATGCATGGGCATATTTATTTTCAGTAAACACCCATTTAGCTGTAGTCAACAAACCTGGCTTAGTTATGAATGTCTACTGTTAATTTGAGTGTCTTATTGGGATGGTTCACCCATGAATAAAAATTCTGTCATTTACTCACCCCCATGTCATTCTAAATCTCATTTAATTTCTTCTACTGAAATTAAATTGCAAAGGCGATAAATGGTGATTAGGCAGAAGCTGCAATTGTCATGCGTATCTTTCAGTGAAGCACGGTTCGGTGATCAGCAGTAAATCTCCATCTGAAGGCCAAAGGGCGCACTCGCGCGGAAACTCCAAATACGCCTAGCAGAAGAAACCCAGGAAATGCATTTAGCGGTTGCTGAATAAACAGATGATTTAACTGCTTTCATTAATTCAGCGTGACTAATAAACACAAGACTACGACAATATATGGTTTATCTGAGTTCGTCTTATTATAATTTTTATTATAATAAAGTATATAATAATGCAATGCTAATCGACATAGCCTTTATCACTGCTTAGAATGCTATGAAATATGTTGCGTGCCTTATTCTGTGTAAGAAGCCACATCTCACAGAAGGATTTATTTCAAACACTCGACAGACGTTATGAAGTGAGTTTGGAGTAAAAACATGTTATTAAATGTGGTATTTTCACGTGCTTTCAGATGGAGCAGCATTTACTACACAGAGCCGTAGTTCCCTGACAAGCTACGCAAACCGGTTTCATAATCACAGAACGATTTCATCGATTTCATAATCGTGCGATTAAATCATCTGAATGCGATTTTGCGTAGCTTGTCAGTGAACTACGGCTCTGTGTAGTAAATGCTGCTCCATCTGAAAGCACGTGCTGGAGATTTACTACTAATCACAGAACCGGCTTTACTGACAAGATGCGCATGACAATCACATTCGATTAATCGTGCAGCCCTAGTAGTGCTCATATCATGAGATGATTTAGCTGCTTTTACTTTTGATATAGTGCAGAAATGAAATCTTTAATGCAGTAAAACAGCTGATTTTCATCTGTCAGGACACAATAAAGAGTTTTTGTGTCTTGAAATAGTCAGAGTAATTTAGTGAGCGTTCAATTTTTTTCATGTGTGTTAAATGCAGAATGCATCATCAACAAGCTTTTTGTGGTCACTTAATGGTCGGTTGGCCATCTGCTCACCTTTCTATCAACAAGCCCTGTAAGGACTGCTTTCTTTTGTCAACAAACCTGGTCATGACTTGAGTGTTTTGCCTTGTTTCACTTCTTAATTATGTGGCTGGCAGAATCTGCTTTGGTCGTTGATCTCTTACTAAAGCAATATCTGTTAGAATCATTTGACACCAGACCGGTTCAGGGCGGTTTCTAAGGACATTCTACTGCACTTTTGATTGGAGCATTACTGGTCTGACCTTGAATGAGTTGTGTGCGGAGGTGTCACCCCACTCACTGAGCATGTGCTGGGCGAATGACTGTGCTAAGAGCCACTCTGTTTTCCTTATCATCCTTACTACTCTCTATAGGGCCTGTATGTCCTACTGACAGTTGAGGGCGTTGGTGAAGGAGAGTTTAGTCTTCTGTCAACCCAGACATTTCAGCTTTGGTCTCTTTATGTTGATGTTATGGCCTCTGTTGTGTTGAGTTATTGGAAACTATCCTTTCAGTTTCTCAGAATCGAGTGCATGTGTGTTTTGTCACATGGGTAGGCATCTTTCAGTATCAATACTGGCATAGACCGTCGCTGTCAGTTTTATTTTTCTGGCCTAGTTTCACTTTGTTACATGCACCGATACATTAATAACTTTATGACCTTGTCTCTTTCTCATCGGTTTAAAGGGGTCATGAAATGCATTTTTTTTTATATAATTTTTCCTGAGGTGCAATTGGTATGTTGTTTTTCCATCAAAAACTGTCATAATTTAGATACAAATTGACATTTTCTACATCTGCTTGATTGCTTATGATGATGATGCATGAGGGGCATGTCGAGGGGAAATCATGACGTGATGTCACAATTCTCCCGATTTTAAATCCAGGCATTTCAGAGGGGTAGAAAAGAAGAATTCATAATTTGAACTAGGGAGTTAGTTTTGAGTTTTAAAGCATGAAGCATGTTTTTATTGTAGAGTTACCTCTTATATGTGTATATCAAGAACATTTTCATTCTCCATTTCATGACCCCATTAAAAGAACAACCAAAACGGTAAATCGTTTTGATCTTATTGCCATTCTGCTTGAGTGAAGCACTTTTTCTTTCATTTTTTGCACAAAAGACATCACCGCTAAAGATTGAGATAAGATTAAATAAAAATGCCTTTTAAACATCAATTAGTCTTCCAGCACGTGTGAGTGTGCAAAGATAATTCTTGCAGTAGGCTGCAAGAATTTGAATTTTGTGACATATTATAGGATAATATTTAGTGCTCGACCGATATATCGCCAATGCCGATATTTGGCATTTTTCAAATATCAGGGGTCATGAAATGCATTTTTTTAATATAATTTTTCCTGAGGTGCACTTGGTATGTTGTTTTTCCATCAAAAACTGTCATAATTTAGATACAAATTGACATTTTCTACATCTGCTTGATTGCTTATGATGATGATGCATGAGGGGCATGTCGAGGGGAAATCATGACGTGATGTCACAATTCTCCCGATTTTAAATCCAGGCATTTCAGAGGGGTAGAAAAGAAGAATTCATAATTTGAACTAGGGAGTTAGTTTTGAGTTTTAAAGCATGAAGCATGTTTTTATTGTAGAGTTACCTCTTATATGTGTATATCAAGAACATTTTCATTCTCCATTTCATGACCCCATTAAAAGAACAACCAAAACGGTAAATCGTTTTGATCTTATTGCCATTCTGCTTGAGTGAAGCACTTTTTCTTTCATTTTTTGCACAAAAGACATCACCGCTAAAGATTGAGATAAGATTAAATAAAAATGCCTTTTAAACATCAATTAGTCTTCCAGCACGTGTGAGTGTGCAAAGATAATTCTTGCAGTAGGCTGCAAGAATTTGAATTTTGTGACATATTATAGGATAATATTTAGTGCTCGACCGATATATCGCCAATGCCGATATTTGGCATTTTTCAAATATCGGCCGATAAGTTTTTCTGTTTGGCCGATGTGTTAAAATGTATACAAAAATGTATTATAACGATTGCTTTAACATTATTAGTAATAGAAAGGCAAACATTATAATACTTTCTCGTTTGCCGTCAGCATTCAGCAAATACGCATTTATATAATTTAAACAAATCTTTGAATGACTAATGAACATTTAATTTCACAAACCTTGCAAACTTAATCGATAGTTGAGATCTTGTGAAGTAGAGCCCGACTGATATGGGTTTTTTGGGACCGATACCGATATTAGGGAGTAAAATAAGGCAGATACCGATATATCGGCCGATATTCTTTGTGTATATTATAGTACAGTACCAGTCAAAAGTTTGGACACTTTCCCATTCGTGTGTCCAAACATTTGACTGGTACTATATATAGAATACAGTATATACATAAACAGAATATATATACATTAAACACATTTTTTGCAATGATCACTCAAATGTGGTGATGAAACAGGAGGAAATGGAGGCAGGGCATTTAACAATTTAACAATAAACTTTACTATCCAAAATGAGTCTGACATCAGTGCACTGAACAGTAAAGTTGAAGTTTATTCAACTTTAATTCAATTCAGTTCCATTCAACTTTATTCCGTTTAAGTTTATTTCACTTCGGAACATTAATTCATGGATTTGCACTACTGTCTTCACACAGACGAAACTTACTAGAGAAGTGTGAGTGTGCTGAAATAAATACTGGAAAAGATCGATTCGCGGCTTTTGAGAATCGATATCGAATCGACATCATTTTAAAAAACTATTAATTGGAAAGTCGATTTGCCCAGCCTCAATGCAG